TTAATTCAAACAAGGAAAAACCTGTAAAATAACAGTGTTTTTCTGTAAAAATTTAAATAAAAAATTCCGTAAAATTATAGGTATTGCACTTTATTGTATTTAAGATATTTTACGTTAATTTTACGGTTTTTGTTTGGCAGCCGTAGCTGCCAGTCATTTGACCGTTTTTTTACGATTTTTTTTTTTACAGTGTTGCTAAATTGCTCCCAAATGTAAGATTGTTATATCATAATAGTATAATAAGTACCCCTTACTTACAGTATAAATATTTTTTTAATTCTCCTGGTTGGTACTAGCCTGGCTCCGCCCTCCTACGCACTTCCGCTCAATTTTATTTTCCTTCAGTACTACGTCTGGGATTGTGCTGTAGACTTTGGTTTCCAGAAATAATTTTTTTACCGGTCCAATCAGCGAACAGAGGGAGTGGCTGAGAACGATGACGTTGATGTAGCGCGTCAGTTTGAGTTGGAGTTCAGTAATGGCAGCGGAGAAAGACGTGAGAAAATCTATTCGGTCCGTTGTTGCAAAACTGCCGAATATCCAGAAGTTAAAGCCCGAGCAAGATCAATGTTTGCTAAGTGTTGTTGGTGGCCATGATTCGGGAAAAGTTTAATTTTCCAGCTCACTCCGCTAGTGGTGAATGAGTTAGCTAAGGCGAACGATAGGATGCAAAGCCGATAGTTGTTGTCGTCTCTTCTTGTTGCACTAATGGAGGACCAAGTGAGGGAGGCAGAAAGGTTAGGAGTTGGTGCTGGGCAGCTCGGCGTGCACGATGATCACTGTGTCACAGCATTTGCGGCAGATCCGAAACGACCGCAGCGGCGTATTGTTAATGATTACACCCAGCTTCGACAGTTGATTGAATACATCACTGTCATTAGTGTCAAATATACATTTAGAATTTAGAATTGTTCCTTGAACTCTTAAATTCGATGAACAAAACATGCAGCTCTCGTTGACAGACATCTTATTCTAAACATAATCCTCTGATCATTCGGACTTGTTTTTTTTTATTGCTTAAAACAATACACAAGTAATAACAGAAAACATAATACAAAAACAAACAAAAAATAATAATAAAAACAAAACAAAAATAAAACAGTAGGGGGATAATATAAAATAAACATGAACAAGTTAAGAGAATTACATGACACTGAAAAAAAGGAAAATAATTACAAACAGATAATGTTTTTAAGGCTTTTTTTGTTCTCAGACAACTTAATTGAAAAGAGGTATTTTTAAAATTCTTTCACAAATATAAGAAAGAGAGGTTTAGCATTTAGATATTTAGATTTATGAATATGGAATTCGGACTTGTTCTTTCCAGCCGGTTTCGGCGCATGACATACGTCACGACCACACGTTAGCGATTGGCTATGGCAGATCCTGAGTGACGCTGGGCAGATCCAATAGTTTTGAACTTTAACAGAGAACCCGCCTACAAGGAAGTAAACGTTTCTCAATGGAGCGAGGCCAGACTCTCTGTACAAATGAAATGTACGAGAGTCTGGTAGAACCAGGCTAGGTTGGTACCCCTTTATTACCCAAACTTAAAATATTGTTCTTATATTGTACTTATATTGTAAGTACGTTATAGGTACACTATAATTACCGAAGGTTACGCTGTAAAATCGCTTTAATTACGCAGTACTCTCCGGGCTGTAATCTAAAGCGTTACCACCCATGCATATTTGTTTCTGCCTTGTTTACTCATGATTACAACATTGTTCTTTTGAACTTGATGTAACATTTTCTTGGTCTGGAAGTAAAAAAAATTGACAGTGTGTCTGCTTTAATGTCTTCAAATTTAAACGAACACTTTCAGCGCACTGCTGGCAAAATCATCAAGAATCTCATGAATCTAACGCATCTGGACTTGTTCAGCAACTGAAGTCAATGCAAGTACCCGTTCGCAGCCATTAGATGCGTTTATAAGTTATTGTGCCCCTTTAAGGTGACCCTGATTCTTTGATGTTTCTCGTATGTTGTGGTTAACTGATTGTAATCTTTCCATTCTCTTCTCTTCCCTCTCTCTTTCTTCACTTTTCTTTACTTACTTGATTACAATCTTTGCTTAGTTTAGTTGTGTGTGTAGTCGTAGTTTAGTTTATTAAACCATCAACGCTTTACTGTCTCTGCGTTTTGCCGCTCACAAATCGAAGTCACTTAAATATCGTGATCTAGCTATATGCTATTACCCTGCTAGTACTTTATTTACTTTAGTACTTTAGTTGGAAAAGTTTATTCTTTCTTGACCAGGAAGATCATTTATTTGATAGAATTGATAATTGATTATGCTTCCTGTTCATTGGATGAACTGATTAAATAATTGTACTATTAATTCAATACAGTCAATTCTAAAATTAATTAAAATATGTATAATTACTTATAATATGTATAAATACTTATATATATAACGAATTATAAGTAATTATAAGTAATTTTAAATATTTTAATTATATATATATATATAATTGAGCTAATTTGCTACATTACAATCAGTGTTGATTGCGTTCTATCTAAATGCATCACAAATAAAGTTTCTTGACAACTGGACTAAACCAAGCCTTTACATTTACATTTATTCATTTAGCAGATACTGTTATTCAAAGCAAATTACAAATGAAGATTTGAACAAAGCAATTATGTTAAGGAGTCAGTAACATGAAAAATCTGAAGAAAGTAATTTAAATGTTAACTTTCAATTTAAAAACAGCTTAAGATCAACATTTTCAATCAAAACAAGAATCTAAATTAATAAATTGTTTTTAAACTACTGAAAGCATACAGAATTTTTTTTCAATGTGTCTCCTATGTGAATTGTACTCTTCCCTTTCAAGGGAACTCGCCCTGCGCCGTATGACGACAGTGTGCAAGCATTTGAAGCACATGTGAAACTAGTCCGATCTTGATTGGTGCTGCATCATGACATGGCATGTGACTGTGTACACGGAAGCAACAGGGACGCCAGCACACAACAGAGTTAGCTTCTGCTCTTCAGCAAGCGCTCTATGTGAAACTGTCTGTCTATTTTGTGTTGTGCATCTCTAGTCAGGAGTTTCTCTGTTTAGAAAGTGAAAATGAAAAAAATTATATATATATAAAAAAAGTGAAATGGCAAGTGAAAAGCAGTTCAAGTGGTGTGTGCATCCCTGTCCCAGATACATCACGGACGGGGACACACACTGCTTGGGTCATGTCTGATGTCGCTGGCTATGTGGCTTCTTCCAACCAGGGGAGGAGACCAATGCTCAAGCTGTCTGCATCTGAGGATGTGGATGTGGATGTGCTCAGCGTCGATGTGGGGGAAATGGAGGACTCGATGTTGGCTGTATACAGAGCTCTGAGGAGCTTCCTCCAGGACCTCAGGGGCCACCACGTTTTATTCGAACAGACAACATGTCGGTGGTCTCAGTCTCCTATATAAATCACTAGGGGGGTCTGAGATTGTGGCCTCTTTGCAGACTGGCCCATCAGATCCTCCTGTGGTCCCAGAGGAAACTGTTGTCTCTCAGAGCAATGTATGTGCGCCTGTGTGCATTTCCCCCAATCGCTCTGCTCCCAGGAGTTCTAGAGAGGGTCCATTGGGACTGGGTCAGTCTGCTTTTGCTAGCCCCATTTTGGCCAGCCTGGGTATGGTTCTAAAATCTAATATCACTTCTGGCAGGGCTTCTGTGGCAGATTCTCTTAAGAAGGGACCTGCTTTCCCAGGCCAGGGACACAATACATCACTCCAGACCGGAGTTATGAAAATTGTGGGTATGGCCCTGAGGGGGTTAAGTACATAGAGGCTGCTCTTTCAGCCAGAGTTGTTGAGACTATACTCAACTCTAGAGCTCCATCCATGAGGAGACTGTACGACATGACATTTAATATATTTACCTCTTGGTGTAGAGAGCATGGGTTGGAACCAGTTAACTGGCTTCAGTGCTGGAGTTCCTCCAAGATAGCTTCTCTACTGCTCTTCCCCCGCCCACACTTAAGGTGTACGTGGCAGCAATAGCAGCTTTCCACGCTCCGTTAAGAGATGGACCACTGGGGAGGCACCAGTTGTCAGTACGGTTCCTTCGTGGGGCGTGGAGGATGAGGCCTGCAGCTCATGCCTGGGATCTGGCGGTGGTTCTCGAGGGGTTATCCCTGGCCCCCTTCAAACCATTGGAGCATCTGAGAAAAATCTGATGCTTAAGATGTCTTTCTTGCTGGCTATTATGTCCCTTAAGAGAGTTGGGGACCATCAAGCTCTTTCTATGTCTCCTCCCTGCCTAGAATTTGCTCATGGGAAGATGAAAGCTATCTTTCATCCTAGACCAGGCTACATGCCTAAAGTGACTTCCAATGTAGCACAGTCTATGTTTTCACAGGCCTTCCATCCTTCACAGCATGTGTCGGCGGAACAAGAGAGACTTCACTTCCTCTGCCCTGTGTGGGCCTTAGAGATTTATGTACAGATGTCTTCTTGATGGAGGAAGTCAGACCAGTTATTAGTGTGCTTTGGGTGACCCAAGAAGGGATCTTCGGCCTCCAAGGAAACAATCAGTAAATGGATTTTTGTGGCAATTTCTTTGGCCTACCAGCTGCAGGGCATTCTTTCACCTCTGGCCACAAGGGCTCATTCTACTAGAAGCATTAAGTCTTCTACAGCCATCCATTCGGGGGGCTCCCTGCAAGACATATGTGATGCTGTGGGCTGGGCTACCCTACATACTTTTATGAGGTTTTACAGTCTGCATCTTCCTTCTACGCCGGGTTCACATGTGCATTAATTGTAAGTTGTGCCAGGACAGTTTCACACTAGGACAGGCATTAGTCGGTGTGGCGCAGTGGGTATTTAATTCCCCAAAATGTCGTCATACGACGCAGTGTGAGTTCCCTCGAAAGGGAATGTCTCAGGTTACGACTGTAACCCTTGCTCCCTGAGAAGGGAATGAGATGCTGGTATGCCTGAGAGCAACTTGCTTTGACCTATCAGAAGCTAACTATATTGTGTGCCGGCATCCCTTTGTAGCTTCCGTGTACGCCCGTTACATGCCACGTCAAATGTTACGTCATGACGCAGCACCAATCAAGATTAGACTAGTTAAACACGTGCTTCAGACGCTTGCGCACCGAGGGCGTTCCCCAAAGTGTCTTCATACGACACAGCGTCTCGTTCTCTTCTCAGGGAACAAGGGTTACAGTTACAGAGACGTTTTCTTGGAATTGTATTGCTTGATGACCTACTCTGACAGTTGCTCTGACAGGCTCTCCAGTTGTTCAGCCTCTTTGGAAACATCTAGAAAAAAGATATTCAACCTATGTCATAAACATTTGTGTAGTGATTTATGTAGTGATAACGAGTGTAGTGATTAAGAATCAGTCAATAGAACACTGAACAAGCCTCTTGTTTGGTTTAATAGGATGACATTCTCTCTTACCCATAATTCTGATTTTGCTGTTTTTTGACAGTGACATTTCCATTGATCTCTTTACTCCTGATTGAAGAGCATCCTTTATGTACAGCTACACAAAGAAACAAAAGATGATTTAGTTTCAATAATTTTATATATGTCCTAAAACATGTTTGTCAGGATGAAAGTGAGATTAGTACCTTTAAGTTATTGAACTTTTTAAGCACTTTCATTTTTGCCTTGTTGAACATGTCTTGTTTTATCGTATCAACTGTGGTTATTAACAGTTCTTGCCTTTTCTGCATGGATTTTTTCCCATGCATCTTTGCAGCTTCTAAAATAAGGAACATTCAGTATTAATTTTATTTGACATGGAGACACATCAGCACAATAAATGTGTTTATAATAAAACTGTAAAAAAAAATCATTGATAACATTTTGACCTGAAAATCAATTTAATTTAATAAAATCCAGTGCAACTTAACAGTTAACTTTTTTTTCAGGGACAATATCCCCAGTTGCAACCTGAGATTATGTATCAGCTCATGGATTGCCCATTATGGGTTTTACCAACCCATATCTTTAACCACTATGCCATATACCTCACAGTGAAAATACCAAAACAGATTTTAACCCACACACAACTATGTACAAACACAGTTACAGTTAACACACACACTTACTGTCATAGCAGGAAGTCATTTCATCCTCAATAGTTTTTTTAATTGACAAATGGATGTCTTTCTTTATTTCAACAATTTCCCTGTTTAGCGATGCCTTCAGTTTGGTTTCCTTTTAGAAGGAGGGAAAAAGTCAGAAAAGTCTTAGAATTAGTTTTTAATCAAGGTATACCCGATTACACCAGTCACTGCATTACATGAACAGTTTGTTCAGTACATTTCAGCATTCAGTGGTTTATGGACCTGTCACAATGTAATGCAGCTTTACAAAGATGATGTTAGGGCAGTGTCAACTTTATTGGATCAGTCAGCAGACCTGAACCTGACTATTATTTTTAATCAATTCAAATGTAGAGAGACACAGGTTAACCTGGTGACTCTATGAACTTGGACTTACAAACATACACCCATTTCACTGGTACTGTGCATTGCCTGCAAAATTAATAGCTGTGTACACATCAGGAAGGTGTTATGTAGTTTTTGTTTTGTTCAGTTTAAGTTTGTTACTGCTGTGTTTTGTTATAGTTTTCAACTCTTTATAGTTTTTTTTAAAGTTTGTCATTATTTTTCTAAAAGAACAGAATGCCAGAACGCACAATAATTCATAGGATAATTTACCTTTATTTTTCCACAAACCTTATTGCAGTTAAACTTCCGATTCAAACCCTGTACAACCAAACCCATAATCTAGGTTAAAGTGCTTTTTAAAGCAACAGCCACATCATTTCCTGTGGAAGCTACCATTTTGGTGTGATGTCAAAGAGGATTTAGAAACAGTTGTTTTTGCCATTTCATTTGTTGTTAAACTCTTTCTCTGTTAATGGTTGTAGATTTGATTAGAAGGATATCGTTTTTTTTTTTTTTTTTCGTTCATCGAGGCTTCACACTCCATCCCAGTAGGTGGCAGAAATGCACCTCAAGCTGGTTTGCCAACCGCCAAAAAACACAAAAGAAGAAGAAGAAGAAGGATTTCAGTTCTGATTGTAGACTCCTCACTGAGCAGTGCTGCGAACTTGGGCCATTTGGTTTAGCCAAAATTAGCACATTGTTGCTGTTTTGTTTTCTTTTTGTACAGTTTTTATTTATTATTGTTTTATCCTGCACTGTAAATATTTTAGCACCATTCAATTAAACACCATTTTTGGATTTTGTGTCAACTTTTTGTACAGCACGTCATTTCCCTTTTCCACACCAACTGGTTGGCCTCCCTACACAGAGGTTATTTACTTGGTAGTCTTAAAGATAATGAAGGGAGAAGAAAAAACTGGACATCTCCTTCGTTTCAAACGGATTACATAAACTGAGAATATTTGTTTTTTTAAATAAATTACTTCATGTAAAAGAAGAGAATGCAAGCTTTATAAAGACATATGTCTCGTGCCTGTATGACAAGTATTCGCGGAGTTACAGTTAATTTTCCGACGCGTTTCAGAATGGACTTCACTGACAGAGAGAACGCAGAACTCACATCATGTTTGTTTTTCTTTATTTGACGAAAAGCACAACACTTTGTTTTTATTGTGAGTATCCATAAAAAATAGACACTTAACAGGATCTAATGATATATAACACTTATATGTAAGATCGAAATCAACCGAGTATTTTGAGTCTCTTTTGCACTGATAAGAAAAAAAGCGATCGTGCCGGCGTGATTGCCGATCCCAGAGGGTTAAAGGGATAGTTCACCCAAAAATGAAAATTCTGTCAACATTTACAGTGAGAGTGAGAGTGAGAGTGAGAGAGAGAGTTGGACTGGGAACTCACGTGCTGCTGAGGAAAAGGGGAAATCCAGCCTGCAAGCTTTTTGTCGATCGTGTTTTTGTTGATTGTTGTGCTGTGTCACCCAGGTGACACGGTGAACGCGCAAGTGTGCACCTTTCTTTTGTTTTCTGCTTTTATTTGAATAAATCGTGAGTCCCGGTCACGCCGACCCCTGTCTTCTTCCTTCCACCCACACTGAACCTCATCAAACTGGTGCCGAAACCCGGGAAGGGAGAAGATCGCCGCCGCAATCATGCAGACCCAGCCAGGAACGCCATTTGCGGACATCATTCAATCGCTCGCGGGTCTTCACCAAGAACAACATCGAGCCCTGCTGGCCGTAAAGGAAGAAGCAGGACCAGTGTTTCAAGATGCTCCTCCGAGGTCAGCAGGAAGACCGGAGCTGGATGGACCAGGAGATTTGGGCCGCCCCCTCTCCAGCTACGGCCTCAGCCCTGCCCCTAACTCTCAATAAAAGGGGCTCCCAGGACGATCCGGAGGCCTTCCTGGATCTTTTTGAGAGGTCTGCCGAGGCCCGGGGATAACGTCGCTGAGCCAGGTCATCCAACTGGCGGAGGACCAGATGGTGGCGTGCCCAGGGGTTGGCGAACCCCTGCCATCTGCTTCTCTCTCTCTCTCTCTCTCTCTCTCTCTCTCTCTCTCTCTCTCTCTCTCTCTCTCTCTCTCTCTCTCTCTCTCTCTCTCTCTCTCTCTCTCTCTCTTTCTCTTTTCCCCCTCTCTCTCCAGTCCCCTCTCTAAGCCTGTCCCCCTCCCAGGTCTCGTGGGGGGCTTACGCCCCGGCCGGTGCCGAGGTGGAGAACGGGGACCCCGGCGGATCCTGCTCCAACGCCCAGGGCCCCTCCCCGGGGGGCGGGCTCGACCATCGGCCACTTCACCTTTTCAGCCGCGCCACTGCTCTCTGCCTGGGCCGGCCTGTTGCACTTCATTGATCGTGTCCGGTGATGGAGGTGGGGATACTGATCCGGGTCCCCGACGCACCACAGGCTGCCTCCGATCAAGCTGGCCTGTACCAGATACCAGTGAGTATCAAGGGGGATACGTTTCAGGCTTTGGTGGATTCAGGGTGTAACCAAACCTCCATTCATCAAAGCCTGATTCAACCTAGGGCATTGGATAATAGCCGCATGGTTAAGGTATGGTGTGTGCACAGGGAGGTGGTAAACTATCCGATATTGCCCGTGGACATTCAATTTAGGGGACAAAAACATAGAGTAGAGGTGGCAGTTAACCCGCACTTCAGGCATCTGCTAATTTTGGGGACCAATTGGACAGCCTTTAATAAATGATTAGGGTATTTTTGTGCGGATGCCTATTGGCCAAAAAGAGACAAGAGGAAGGCGGCAGTTGCTCAGGTGGGAGAAGCTGAGCCGGGACCTCTGGGAGCTGTTCCAGGGGAAGAGAGCGCTCTGGAGAGAACCATCCTCACAGAGCGCGATGATTTTCCCCAGGAGCAGTCCCAGGATGAAACGCTGAAACATGCCTTTGATCAGGTCCGCTCTATCGACGGCCAGCTGCTCCACCCAGACCAACCGCTCTCCTATCTCTATTTTACAAACTTAAAAGATAAGTTGTATCGGGTGACCCAAGACACCCAGTCAAAGCAGGATACAACTCAGTTATTGGTACCAAAAAGCCGCCGGGAAATGCTTTTCCAGACAGCTCACTGTAATCCAATGACCGGGCAATTAGGACAAACGGCTACACTAAACCATCTCATGGCCCGGTTCTTCTGGCCGGGCATTCACGAGAATGTGCGCAAGTGGTCCGCCTCTTGTCGTGAATGTCAGTTAGTGAATCCCCCGGCCAACCCAAATGCACCTTTGTGCCCACTTCCCTTAATGCAGGTCCCCTTCGAACGAATTGGCATGGACCTCATCGGGCCATGAGAACAGTCTGCACGAGGGCACCACTTTGCTTTAGTCCTGGTGGATTATGCAATGCGGTACCCTGAAGCAGTGCCACTCCGCAGTATCTCCGCTAAAAGCGTCGCGGGTGCACTGTTTCAATTAATCTCCCGGGTGGGAATCCCAAAAGAGATTCTCACCGTTCAAGGCACGGCGTGCTGCTGAGGAAAAAGGGAAATCCAGCCTGCAAGCTTTTTGTCGATCGTGTTTTTGTTGATTGTTGTGCTGTGTCACCCAGGTGACACAGTGAACGTGCAAGTGTGCACCTTTCTTTTGTTTTCTGCTTTTATTTGAATAAATCGTGAGTCCCAGTCACGCTGACCACTGTCTTCTTCCTTCCACCCACACTGAACCTCAACACAAAGATATTTTGAATAATGTTGGTGACCAAACAGTTGGGTAACCATTGACAACCACTGTATGAAAAAAAACCCTCAAAATATTCTCTTTCATGGTCTACAGAAGTACGGAACTCATACGGGTTTGGAATGACATTAGGGTGAGAAAATTAATAAAAAATTTTGGGTGAACTATCCTTTTAAAAGTATAGTAGCAAAAACAGTTTATAAGGAACAAGGATTCACATAGACTTTAGTAGAATTAATAGAGGACCAGGTTCAGATTAAGCCCCCTGAGTGCCCACAAGAGGACAACTGAACTTACCTCTATTTTGATGAAGTTCTGAATGTGACGTAATGTGGGAGGTCCAGGGTTAGCAGAGTCATTCTGGATGATACTGAATTTGTCAATCTGTTCCTGCACTGACCTTCCTGTTTTTCCACTCACACTAAAGCCAAGAGAAAACAAAGATATTTTTTTGTAAACTTTTTTAGAGTATTGTTGTCTTCCTTCAGACATAATGCGATAAAAGAATTACACAAAGGAATCCTGTGACACCCCAGTCATTTCATGCTTTTTACTGGTTAAGGACTACATTTCAAATAGTTTTAGCTACTTGATTCATTCCTGAATGGATCAGCATTTTTGCATGGATAGGTTGAATGAATGGTTGCTTGTACCTCTATTGAAATTACTGAATAATCCCCACCATTACACAGACTTACATTCTTTGTAGAATAATGTGCCAACAGAGACAAGCAGAGTGATACAAGCAGTGAAAATTTCCCTGTGACACTAGTCCTATATTGGCACACTTTGAATGCCACTTGCCCAATCAGATTCAAGGACTGAAACTATAACTGTTGTATACATATCTGTAACTTCTTATGCTGATGCGCTAAACATTGACCATACATTGTAAAGTGTTTTCATTATATATATTTTTTCAACTAAACAAAGGAAGACAATAAAATAAGAAAACAGAACTTACGGAAATATCAAATTGAAATCTTCATCAATGGATTCATGCAGGGGTTTCACCAATTTCTTATTCAGATCTAGGTCTTGATCCATTTTTCTTGGCATAAAGCACCCGTGATTCTTACACAAAGCTTGAAGGGTTTTATGGAATCCTCTTCTATCTTTTTTCTGATTGACAATAAAATAAATACAAATGGTGTTCAAACCCTGATCATACGGAACGGATTTCCCCTCGGGAAAAACCCTTTGGCTCTCAACCACCACTGTAGGGGTCTCATGTGTCCAAAAGGTATGACGCTGGACGCTGCTGCCATGAGCCCCAGCAATCTCTGAAACTGCTTCACAGTGAGGTTGTGGCCTAGCTTCGCTCTGGAGACCATCGCCCGTATGGACTCCACGCGTGCGGGAGACATTTGTGCCCGCATCGCCGTGGAGTCCCATATAATTCCCAGGAACGTAGTCCTCTGGGGGGGGTGTCAACACACTCTTCTTCGTGTTGAGTCTGAGCCCCAGGCACCTGATATGGGCCAGAACGACATCTCGATGCCGAACTGCCATCTCGCACGACTTGGCCAATATTAGCCAGTCGTCGATATAATTGAGTACACGGATGCCCTGGAGTCTCAGCGGAGCCAGCGCTGCATCCATGCACTTGGTGAAGGTGCGAGGGGAGAGAGCTAGGCCGAAGGGAAGAACCCGATATTGGTACGCTTCGCCCCCGAAAGCGAACCTCAGGAACTTCCTGTGACATGGAAGGATGGAAATATGGAAGTATGCGTCCTTCAGATCTATCGTGACGAACCAGTCCTCGAACTGGATCTGACTCACGATGGCTGTGATTGTGAGCATCTTGAACCTGAATCTCCTCAGAGACCGATTCAAGTGCCTGAGATCTATTATTGGACGCAACCCCCCATCCTTCTTGGGAACTATGAAGTAGCGGCTGCAGGGCCGTCGCTAGTGGGGTGAAAGGTGTTGACAATTATAGGGGCCCCCGCTGCCCAGGGGGCCCCACAAAATCCAGCAGTTATACTATTTAGGCCCCTGTAGTATGAATAATTCTAATATTTACATTAGTTGTATGCCTGAGATTTAAATGAAAACCACAAAAACGTGCAATTTGGGTAAATATTTGTCCAAATATCTGCTTCTCTTACCTCCATAAAAATGGTTTAGTCCGACCTAAGTATTTATTAATTATTCAGTCAGAGTCAGTGACAAACATCAGATGGACCCAATAAAATTGTAAGTCCCACCCCAGCTCGTGAACAGAACCAATCAGAGTTGAGGCGGCAGCCTGAAGTTAACGATGAACTTGGTGGAAGAGCAGGAGACTGACTGACTGAAAAATGTCGGGGAAAAGAAAACATAAATCAGGTACCAGAAATGCCATGAAAAGACGGAGAGGGAGGCAAGGAGAGTGGTTGTATCCCAGTCGATCAAGACGTTCTTAAAGACCGGTTATTGTTATTTCGCTGGGAATTAGAAAACTTCCGTCTACAGTCTGCCGTGTACAGTCATTTGTTATTATCGGTGCGCGCCGCAATCGACCGAATGATTACGTGGTCTAAATTCCTGTCTTTTTACACTATTATAACTAGAGTTTTAAAAAAATTACACAAGTCACGACGCATTGCATTATGCATCTGACCTGCCGGCTGATGATATTTAAAACATCGAGAAAACACGAATACAACACACTGCACTTGGATGAATAAATGTTAGGGCTGCACGATTAATCGAATTTTAATCACGATCACGATTTTGGCTTCCCACGATCAAATTCGCGCGATCGAGCAATATTTAAAATGCCTCATTCCGTTCACAGAATGCTTGCTCCAAAGTTTTTTTTTTTTTGCAAAGCCAATCTAGCGCTCTGTAAACCACTATCTGAGAGAGTGCGCGAGAGAGACCGAGTATCTGCGCGCGAGCGAGTGTCCAAGTGCGCGCTCGAAAGTGCGCGAGAGATACCGAGTGTGTCTGCGTGCGAGCGCCAGCGCGCGAGAGATACTGATTGTGTCTGCGCGCGAGAGAGACCGAGTGACAGTGCGCGTGAGAGACCGTCGTGTGAGCATTAGTAAATTGGTACATACTACATAGTAATATATAATTACTATATAAGAGGCATGTGGAAGTTCGATTAATGGACTCCAATAATCATATCCTACTACAAACGTCTTGTTTTGAACTATTGTTTAATAAATAGAAATAATTCGAGCACATAAACTTTCATATGGAGGATTAAATAGATTCAAGTTATGCAGTAAGACTTCACAACTAAATCACTGACACTGTACCACAACATTTTACATTTCTTAAGCGTCAAATAACAATGACTCTGAATTTCATCCATTAATCGAACTTCCATAGTGTAGTTCTGCCTTGAAATGTTCTCATTTGGTTACATTCTGTTATGGAATATTTGTTTTTTATTGATTGTATATTTTGCACGTTTTATTCACATCCATTATGCAGGTACAATGCAAGTTTACATTTTGCTTCCTAAAATATATTTACACAATGTAAAATAGTGCCCTGTTGAAGTTTTGCTACATTTTCTTTATTGTTTTCTTTATTTTTATTTATTCTTTAAGGAGATGCACTGAATTCTAGTGAATAAGAGGACCTATTTTATTTTGATGCACATAGTTGTACATTAGCAGGAACGTAGCACAATATGGACGTGAAAGCAGTTATAATTAGCCTATGTGACAAAATTTGTTTTGGTTAAAATCAACAAATAATCGTGATAATTAATCGTGATCTCAATATTGATCAAAATAATCGTGATTATCATTTTGGCCCAAATCGTGCAGCCCTAATAAATGTATTCGCTTTATTTAATAATATTACCAGTTCCATATTATCTTTATAAAAAAATAAGACAATGAATGGTTTTATTTTTTTAATTAGACTGCATTCTTGTCAATTTCTAAATGTTTACTTTTTGATTTATGAATTATAACAGACTGATGGGGAAAAAAATTATTACTTTTTAAAAATTGGTTTTATTATTATTTAACAATTTCTTGCTTTTTTGTTAGTTTTTATTAGTTGTAATTTTTATATAAACATTTAACTTTTAAAATAAAGGTTTTACAACAACATCACCATCTTCTGTTATGTGGGTGGGCCTCCATGTTCATCTATTGTACAGTATATGATATTGGTGGAGGGTGGTGGGGGCCCACATCAATATTTTTTCAGGGGGCCCCGAATCCTCTAGCTACGGCCCTGAGCGGCTGTAAAACCCGGACTCCCTGTCTGGCGGAGGAATACGTTCTATAGCCTCCTTTACCAGTAGGGAGTTTACTTCTTGTTCCAATACCCGACCCTGCTTTGGGTCGACTACAGTCCAGATCACCCAGTTGAACTTTGGTGGGTGGAAACTGAACTGCAGTCTGTACCCCAAGGGAACCAGCCTCTCAAGACTGGCTTCGTGTATCGTTCGAGATTCGTTCTCGATACCCTGAAGCGGCTCTCCGGCAGGGTTTGGGCGAGACGATTATCGATGTGCGGACGCGAGCGCTGCCTGGCCGCAAGCCTGTGGGGCAGACAGAGCAGCGTGCGTTCGCTGGAAACCGATCTGTCCCGAAGCGCACTTAGGGCGGGATACAGACATCGTTTTCCTGAGGGCTCCCAGATGGGAGGCTCTTTCGGTTTCGTTTTCGACACCCTGAAGCGGAAAACCGGCAGGGAATAAATCGAAAACAGTTTCCGATGTGCGGACGCGCACACTGCCTGGCCGCAAGCCTTTGTGGCGGACACTGTTGCGTGCATTCGCTGAAAACCGATGTGTCCCGAAGCGTGTTTGACGCTGGATACAAACATCGATTTCCTGAGGCCTCCGCAGAGGAGCGATTCTCGCTCATCCCTCCACGGGGGGGACAGCCCTGCTATTTTCGTCTTGTTTTCGATACCCTGAAGCGGAGGACCGGCAGGGAAAAATTTTAAACGATTTTCGACGTTCGCTGCTCATCATTTTAATTCCTCAGAATTAAATGCAGCCATAAACACCATACTGTTTTAATATTATTTACAGTCTCGTAATCTACACGCTGCCTCAGCAAACGCGAGAATCGAGCCATAACAATATATTTGGCTTTCATCCCTCGAGAGGAAAGTCAACAGGTGCGAGGCTGAAACATCCGACAGCGGTTTATTTAGACCTACGCGTCGAGATATTTCTCAATGAACACTGCCAGCACCCTCAGGAACTGACTGTGAATGCCTCGCACTCAAACAGTATTATTTCACAGATTGTGTCCCTTTTATTGTAGACCCGTAATCTACGCGCTGCGTAGATTCGAGTCACTATAGATTCTGTATTGCAATGCAAACCTTAAATCTACCCGCTGCCTCGGCAAACGCCAGATCCCAGTCACGGAATCTTTATTGCAGAGTAGACCCGTAATCTACACGCTGCCTCGGCAAACGCGAGATCCGAGCCACTATAGATTCTGTATTGCAATGCAGACCTTAAATCTACGCACTGCCTCGACAAATGCGAGATCCCAGTCACAGAATCTTTATTGCAGAGTAGACCAGTAATCTACACGCTGCCTTGGCAAACGCGAGATCCGAGCCACTATAGATTCTGTATTGCAATGCAGACCTTAAATCTACACGCTGGGGTTCGCAATCAGGGCTGACCAACCGGGCATGCACTCTGGTGACGGCATCATCAGTGTAGGAGGAACAGTGAGTGAAATATCACACGTATCCTGTCCGAGGAGTGGAATGGCGAGCAAGCGATGAGCGGGTCCTGTTACTGGCCACTGGGGGCGAGTACATTAGAGAGGACACTGGCTCCACTCGGAGATTGTAGAATCTCGCAATTGTCTTGGGTGTCACCCAGCCTGCAGCTCTGCAGATGTCTATCAGTGAGGCGTCGTGCGCTAGAGTCCAAGAGGAAGCCAAACTCTGGGTGTGGAAGCCACACTGCTGGTATGCCAAAGCAATGGCATCCACTATCCAGTGAGACAACCTTTGCTTGGAGAGAGCCTTTCCCTTCAGCTTCCCACCATAACAGACAAAGAGCTGGTCTGAGGTCCTGAAACACTGCGTTCTGTCTACGTAAGCACGGAGGGTGCGTGCTGGACAGAGCAGTGCCAAGGCTGGGTCTGCCTCCTCCGAGGGCACGATTGCAGGTTCACCACCTGATCCCTGAAAGGAGTGGTGGGAACCTTGGCCACGTATCCAGGCCGGGGTCTCAGGATCACGTGGCCCGAATTCCAGGCACGCTTCGTCAACCGAAAATGCCTGCAGGTCCCCTACCCTCTTGATGGGAGGCCAAAGCAACCAGGAGAGCTGTCTTCATAGACCGTATTTTAAGCTCCACTGATCGCAATAGCTCAAAGGGAGCTCTGTGCAGGGCAGATAACACCACTGCGAGGTCCCAAGAGGGTACAATAGGAAAGTGATGAGGATTTAGTCTCCACGCTCCTCTAAGGAACCTGATGACAAGGTCATGCTTCCCCACAGACGTACCTTCAACTGTATCGTAATGTGCGGCGATACCGGCAACATACACTTTGAGGGTGGAGGAAGACAGCCTTGGCTCCAACCCATCTTCCAGGAAGGAAAGCATGACACTGATCGGGCATTTTCTGGGGTCTTCTTGGCGAGAAGAACACCAGGTGATGAAGAGGTTCCACTTCAACGCATAGACATGTCGAGTAGACATGGCCCTAGCAGAAGTGATGGTAGCCACCACCGGAGTTGGTAGGGTACTCAAACCTGCCGCGTTCCGTCCAGAAGCCATACATGGAGGTCCCGTAGAAAGGAAAGGTTCGACCATGGGGTGAAGGTCTGACGGCAGTAACTGGTACTGGTACTGGTACTCGGGGCGTGCCTGGTTACCATGCCCATCTCGGGACTCGATTGCGAATCCAGTGCTGAAGCGGCCTCATATGAATCAGTCCGAGCGGGGCTGCCGCTGCGGACGTCATGTCCCCCAAGAGCCTCTGAAAAAACTTCAGTGGAACCACACTCTTGCTCTAGAATTGACTCAGGCAATTCAGCAGTGACTGCGTGCGGTCGCTCGTAAGCTGCACGCACATGGCGACCGAGTCGACCATACCGAGAAAAGAGATCCTCTGCACGGGGGATAGTTTGCTCTTTTCCCAGTTGACCCGAAGGCCCAAATAGTCAAAGTCCCGGAGCACCAGATCCCTGTGTTCACAAACCTGGTCTTGAGAGTGAGCTAGGAGCAGCCAGTCGTCGAGATAGTTCAGGATGCGAACCCTGTGTTGCCGGAGTGACACAAGGGCTGCCTTGACGACTTAAGACTGAAGACTGAAGACGCGAGGGGACAGGGCTAACCCGAATGGGAGAACCGTGTACTGGTATGCCTGCACCTCTAAAGCAAACCTAAGAAACGGTATGTGTCGAAGAAGAATGGAGACATGAGAGTACGCGTCCTTCAGGTCGATTGCTGCAAACCAATCCAACGGATGACCACATTCGAAAATGCGTTAGGCTGTCAACATCTTGAATAGAAGCCTGTGAAGGGTATAGCGGATTCCCCGGAAGCGGGGAGGAGACCGTGCAAACTGAATCGCATAGCAGAGCCTGATGGTTCTCACGAGCCAGCAGGACAGATTGGGAAGCTCCAAAAACTTAACCAGCGGGGTCATGTGAACCACAGACGTACCCACGATGGGGCAGCGAGGTGGAATGGGCCCGGACGTGCGAGGTGGAGCATCCCGGTGTGGGGGCATGGTCATAAGCCGCGTCCTGACAGAGGAGACAGACAAGAGTGGCGAGGCTCGTAAGCGGATATGTAGTGATTCAAGAGTGATCACTTGACGTATAATTAAATGTGTAACGCGATCTCTGCTAAATACTTTAATTAAATGTTACAGTTTACGTTGTAATTTATCTGTAATCAGTAAATTAATGATCCTGCAGAAGAATTACCAGTATTATTTTCTTTTAATGATGTTATTTTAATTTGTATGCTTGTAAAAGCACCTGGATTATTTAATAATATATTAATGTCAAAGTCATTTCTGACCAGACCGATGGTTATCATACTCAATTGCACATTCTCTGTGTATTTAAAGCTGGAGCTGGCAAAAGTAAAACACGTCATCTGGTGGACCTTTGTTGTGAAATAAACAGGAATTTCTCGGTCCAGGTAACAGAGAAAGAGTAAATATTATTAATTTACATATACTACTGACATTGTAACAATACAAAGCATGTTGAAAGTCGGCCGAGATAGAGTTTAAATCACACTCACAGGTGCTATTAATGCCTTTGTGGAAGTAACACATGATTGCACTGAATCTTCCACTCCCTTTGAGAGACACTGCTCCAGATCATTATAAATGGTCTCAAAACGATTGTCCAGTTCATGTAGTGCCTTCGTTAGGTTCTCTTCAATTGTTTTGCGGATACTGACTTTCATTTCAGCCTAAAACACATTCATACAACCGTAGTGAATTACATAATAGATACAGGCATCATTCTGAAAACATCTGCATGTAAAATGACAAGAATTTTGCTACATACCGTTTTCTTGTCTGAATCCAGCTGGACACTTTGGATCAAGGACAAAACTCCCTTTGCTTCATTGACATAATCTCTGGTCAGCTCTCTGTTAATGTTCTTATTAAGAATCCTCAGATCATCCTGCAGCCTTGGGATTTCTACAGAAGAGTGTGATATGGACTCATTTGGTCAGTGATTGGTCTTGCTTGTAAAATACTTAAATTTCAGATTGATTTAAAATATGCAATTAATTACAAAACAGGCTTTTACTTCATGTATGGATTTTTTGCCCTAGTAAAAAGGAGTTTTTACCTGTTTCGATAGATTTCAGATTGAAACTGATGTCGAAGAATGCATTGGAGCTTACAGTAAATACTTGAAGAAAAACACTGCTGAATCTTTTCTAAAAAAAAAAAAACATAAATAATATATATATATACATACAAGTAATTAAATAAGAAGAGAATCAGGCATAATTAGAATTTATCAAAAATGATGGTACCTTGATTTCAGAATTTTCAAACTTTTCTTTCACCCTTGTCTTGGCATGGTCATTTCTATGAAGTATGCACACTTTTTTCTGTACCTGAAAAATATATTTTTTTAAAACATGTTTTTATAGGGGCTATATGGGGTTAATAGTATAGGTCAAATATGAAATCAGTTTAAATGGCTGAATATTAAAACTGCATATAATACTGAAAATTAGTGGAGAAGTAAAAACAGCATTATCGACAACGTGAGTAAGCTCAGATAATATTTTGAGTTATTTTTTATAGAATAATAAATGGACATTTAAAAAATGAAATTAATTGAATTATTAATTATTATATAAAATTAACTTAATTTTTATTAAATATTTCTAAATATATTTTTAAATATTTTTTAATTTTATAAGGCACTTTAATATATATAAATAGTATCTGTGTGTAAAGGTCACCAGCTGGAGTGCCCTTGAGAGCCTCCAGAGGGCACTCCACATCAGACTATTGTCATTCCCTCACAAACTACATTTCCCATAACTTACTGCCCGGACTCTTCATCCATTATCACATTCACCTGTGTCTCATTATCTTGTTTATCTCACCACATATAAGCCTGGTTTTCTCATTCATTATCTGTGAAGTTTTGTTTACTGCATTTCTGAGCATTCTCCCTGGTTTCATTGACTCTTGGTTCTTTTCCTGTTTTTTGGATTCTTTTTTTTTTTTACCTCTGACCCCTGCCTGTTTGTTTGGACTGCCTTCCTGTGTTTGACCCTTTACTGGTGTTTGATTATGATTCTGGATTACTCAAATAAACTGCATTTGGATCCTCAACCTTTGTGTCTGTGTCTCAGAGCAGTTTGTGATAGAAGACTTCGCCAATATGGATCCAGCTGTTGAGTTAGTCCGCCTGCGCAGAGGTAACCGCACCCTTGAAGAGCACATATTTTCCTGGACATTGCAAATGTTTCTGAACTGCCAGATTGTGCTCTCATCGACTTTTTCTGTTACGGCTTAACCATCTGCTCAAGGACAAGTTAATCCACGATGCTCCTTGAGGGTCGTTCAGTGACTTTTTGGATTATGCCCTGCTTTTGAGTGGTTCATCCTACACTGTTGAGGAGGACGTGTCCCCTAAATATTTTTTGGGGAGGGGCATCACACTCCAAGATCCAGTGGCCACGGAGCTTGGCCCACCACAATCATCAGCATGCCCATGTCTGCCTCTTCACGTCATGCCTGCCGAGCCTGAGCTTCTTCACGTCATGCCTGCCAAGCCTGAGCTTCTTCACGTCCTGCCTGCCGAGCCTGAGCTTCTTCACGTTGTGCCTGCTGAGCCTGAGCTTTTTCACGTCGTGCCTGCTGAGCCCGAGTCAGTTCTGGAAAAGACAGCACTCATCATAGTCGCCACGGCGATTTTGAGTGTGTGGGCACTTCCCACATCGACTCCAACCCATGAATCCTTGGACAAGATGGCCGCCGCCATGCCTGTGTCTTTGGACAAGATGGCTGCCTGTGTCTCATTATCTTGTTTAACTCACCCCATATAAGCCTGGTTTTCTCATTCATTATCTGCGAAGTCTTGTTTAGTGTTTATACTGCATTTCTGAGCATTCTCCCTGGTTTCATTGTCTCTTGGATTTTTGCCTATTTCTTGGCTTCCCTTTTTGCCTCTGACCCCTGCTTGTTTTTTGGACTGCCTTAGCCTACTGTGCTCGACCCTTTGCCTGTGTTTGATTATGATTCTGGATTACTCAAATAAACTGCATTTGGATCCTCAACCTTTGTGTCTCGGAGCAGTTTGTGACAATGTGGAATTTCAATGCCCCTTTTATTTATCTTCAAAAGTTTCTATTAAAATATACCAATATTTATGTAAAACTTGTGCACTTTATAACAGATTCACCTTTTCCTCTTAAAGTGCCACTATTATGCTATTTTAAAGTTTCCTAATGTTGTTTTGGAGTCTCCTACAACAGGTTTACATGCATCAAAGGTCATTTCCTCATAATATACATTTGCACGGTTTCATTTCCTCATAATATACATTTGCACATCACCACATTTTCAATGATTCTCAAAAGACTCGTCAGATGAAAGAAATCTCTCTAAATCCCTCCTTTCCATGAGCTACTCTGCTCTGATTGGCCAGACAGCTCAGTCTGTTGTCATTGGTTTACTGCGTACAGCGCGTCGAAAACAAAAACTGCTTCATACTGTATTGCCCCTGGCTGTAGCCTACCTTCACATTGTAGAGCACAGGTTATTCTCGACACTTCTTGAGCTAAACACCCTACCAGAAGCTTTTTTTCCCTTGGTCGAACATTATTAAAATTAGAGCTCAAGGTCACTTTCGTGATTTGGGAAAAGCCTGTAAAAGTTCTTTGCAAAACTCACAAGTGTAAGGGAAAAGCTAGTGAATATAACACTCCATAGAAATTTATTGATAACTGGATGATATTCTAAATACTTTTTAAGTGTTGATCTGAAAATACAAGCATTTATAAAACTTTAAAAAAAAAAATGTTTTACTTGGCGTCGTTACACTACATCCTTATGCACGCTTTCTGCCAGGACTTTTACGGGCTTTTCCCAAATCACGGAAGTGACCTCGACGTCTGGGTTAGCGGTAGCATAAGCCATCAGGCAAGTGTTATTTAAATAAACTCCTGATGTACTTACAAACTTTCCAATGCCTCGTTTTATGAATACAGAACCTGCACTAAGCCATTCGGCTGATATCTCTAAATAACCTCTAACTTTAATAATGTTCAAACAAGGGGAAAAAGCTTCTGGGCGGGTGTTTTGCTCGAGGTCATGGTGCAAAGGACCCAAGGTTGAAATTACTCCGAACCATCCCTTTAATGCAATTCTTATCAATGGGAACATAACATCATATCAATGGGAAACAGAAGGAAAAAATATATGCTGCTATAATTAAATTTTCCAAACCTTGTCTTCTTGGTTCTGGTCTAGGGTAAGCCTTTCACATCTAAAAAGACAGATTAAAAGTCAAAGTGTTTTGAAAGAAGATTTATATGAAAGAGAGAGCTGTATGTAATGTAAACCATTTTGCAAATGCCCATCAACAACTTAGACTGAATAAGACCAATCACCAAAGGCATGTCAGCAATACAAAAAACCTGAATAAGTAAACTGGTTGGCACAAATTGTGACCCACTCTTAGATTATTTTTTGCTATTTACATAAGGTATCTGTCACAGAGACTAATTTATCAGTGATACCTGTTTCAGTGATATCTGGACATATTGTAGGAACATTTTATGCATAAAATTTAAAATATAATATGTTATTGCTTACAGCACCTTTAATGACAAAGGCTGCGTTTACACTTGGCATTAACATGCAATCACTGTGATCCGATCAAGCAGGTCGGATCATTAGCCAATCATGACATGGTTCGTTTACATTTGTTTACATTAAGCCTCTGTATCTGGATAACCGATCGGATTTCTGTTTCCTGCATAATATTTAAATTAGGTCTGTGGCACGACACCAGTTTAAGAGTAAAGATGATACCAATTAAACTATGTACCAATTGCTTTCACTCACTCACTTTACTTTCCTGTGCAATCTCCAGCCTTAGATCAAATAAAAAAAAATTAACAAAGGAATACTTCCAGAGTTGATCATACAAAAATAACTGGGTTGATCATGTTAAACAAGTCACATTCAACATTTAAAACATTAAAAAAGTCCGATTATTCCTCTGCAAAGCATGCGTGCAGCTCTTTATTAAGATCTCATGACTGACTGTGTGTCTATGGCCCTGTCCCAAATGGAACCCTAAGCACTCGCGGTCTTCCTCTGAGTCCGCACTTTCCCGACGTAACGCCGCTTTGAATGTCGGGAAGAAGTCTGCTGTGGAGTCCGCATCAGCGCGGGCTCGGCAAAAGTGCGCATCAAGGGCGCAAATCGACCGCAGAGGGGGCGCTCGCGAGCACCCTTCTGAGATCTAAAAATGACAAATGGGACACACTGCGGTCTCACGGACTTAACGGACACGCGCACGCGGCAGCCATTGTAAGTCCACAAGACCGAAAGTGCACATGAAGTGTGCCATTTGGGACAGGGCCGATGAGTGTGGCCCAATCCCAAATGGCACACTTCATGTGCACTTTCGGTCTTGTGGACTTACAATGGCTGCCGCGTGCGCGTGTCCGTTAAGTCCGTGAGACCGCAGTGTGTCCCATTTGTCATTTTTAGATCTCAGAAGGGTGCTCGCGAGCGCCCCCTCTGCGGTCGATTTGCGCCCTTGATGCGCACTTTTGCCGAGCCCGCGCTGATGCGGACTCCACAGCAGACTTCTTCCCGACATTCAAAGCGGCGTTACGTCGCGAAAGTGCGGACTCAGAGGAAGACCGCGAGTGCTTAGGGTTCCATTTGGGACAGGGCATTTGTCTGCACCATTCTGTCTAGGTCTTAACTACTTCCCAGAATCCCTCTTGTCTTCACACCTGAACTCACTCCCTCATTACACACCTGTTCATCATCATCATCATCATCCGTGTCACCTGTCCTCACCTCGTTAGTGTTCATTTGTAGGCCTATCTGTATAGTTTCCCTCTGGTCAGTCCTTGTCGGTTCTCGTCAATGTTACGTAGTGTTAATGTTACCTGACTTTTAACACTGACTTTAGTGTTAAACACTTTAACCCTGCCTGCCTGCCTGCCTGCGAATGCAGACACAATGGCTGGATTGCGTTTACATTACACTGAGATCCGATAACAATGCGTCCTCGACTACCTCCGAACCTGGGGGCTGTTCCATAAACCAAGATTAGAGTATAAGCCAGGCTTATTTCGGTTAGTCAGGCTTATTTTTGGTAGATTCGGTTTCATAAATCAAACTTAAAAAAGTTCAAACTCAGTGACCCTGGCAACTTATGCTGGGAAACTAGCCTGGTCCAGGGCAGGCTAACTGTCAGGCTAAGCCTCAGTTGTTACACAGATCAACACTGACCTACAAGAACACAATGATATTACCACTGACAGTCTCTAATACCATTATTGGACTTTATAAATACACAGTATACAGAAAATCAACTTAAATAAGGCTACAATATAGACAATATATTATAGACACATATATAAGGCGTTTTAAAGTTGTCCGTTTAGGACATGCCATTTTTGTAATAAAGACATTTTAATTAAGGAGTGCCTCGGTTATCAGAGAATTCTTTCTCTACACTGTCTCTTATATATATATATATATATATATATATATATATATATATATATATATATATATATATATATATATATATATATATATATATATATATATATATAATGTACTTTATTATGTCTTTCAATTCAAACACATTTAACACAATTATACAAATGGACAGTTCCTTTAAAGACATCATATTTCCCCCCAATAAATATTCCTTATTTTTCCTTCTACTTTTTTTTCTTTTGTGATAATACCAACACATACATATAAATAAAACAATAAATACATATTAATAAAAATATAACATTCACATATATCAAACTCTTATAATGAATGACACATAATTCCTAATAGTTATTCAAGTAATATTATTTAAATATCAAATATTCAATATTAAATAAGTAAATAAATAAAATAACAAATAACTAGAAATAAAAGGGAAGGTTACATAAAAATGTAGTTAATGTAGGCCAATATATATTCCTTTATTTTATGGAATATTTTTTGATTTTAGAGTTGCACATATCTTTTCAAAATGTATACATTTGTTCTTAATTTAATGTTATCCTCTCCATAATGTACTTTAGAAACTAAATCTAACCACTCATTTAAAACTGGGGATTCTTGCTTTCTCAAAAAAATTATTGCATAAAAAGCTGTAATTCTCAGCATTCTAAATAAGTATATATCATCTTTATAAAGTAGCATAGGTCCTATACCCAAAACTATATTTTGTATCTTTATATATTTAGTTTCTTTAAAAAAATCTTCCCTGAGTTAGGCTACTTCTGTTCAATTTCTTTTTTTTTAATTAGAAGTATAAAATATATGAGTGTAATGAGCTAGAAGTTCACTGCAACGTATCCAACATCCTAAAGAGAAATTATTATAATTAGAAGATATTTCTAGTGTTATAAAATATCGCATATTAATTTTCCAAGCAAAATGTATATTTTAGTCAGAATTATTGCGCTCCTATTTGGCGCGCATGCGCGCAGCAGCGCTCGTTCAATATGAAGATTAGCAGCAAAATGGATACATTTGCACGACTTTCTAACATTTACAGATGGAGAATATAACTGTAAAATTTAATGTTTGCACTGAGGGGGGGGGAAACATGTCACAAACGCATTAAACAGCACAAAATATACGCTGTTTGATGGTGGATCGATTTGATCCATGCACGATCGACCTCTAGGGCTGCTTCAGAAACGCGTGCACACGCAATTATCTAGACTAGATAAACCTGGATCAAATAAGTGAGATTGCGTGAACTTCAATTACCTTTTATGGAACCACTTTAGCCCCAACTTATTTGTTAGGCTCATTCAAGTCCCGTTTTGGAGTTTAATCCCCGCTTTTCTAAGCTTCATTTATGGAACAGCCCCCTGGACACGCTGATCGGATAACATTCCAATCAGAAGTGCGTTTACACTTGTCTTTTCAATGTGTATGTGGACAACATCCGCATATAGGTTGCATGTTAATGCCAAGTGTAAACGCAGCCAAAGAGATTCTAAGTCTGACCTTATATAGGCTGATGGATTGATATCATCTGTCTTTGTACAGATAAAGTTGATTCTTTTGCATTCTCCTCCTGGTCCCAGTTCTTCAGTGCAGTGCTTTAAAATCCCCCAGGGGTCTTTGTCAGTGGTTGCTCGCTTGATATCACTTACAATCCACACAGAAGAGCATTCTGTTAGTTTCTACAGGATTTGAAACAGTGAGTTAGATGACATGCTGCCATTAGTAGCATAATGTATAATTGTGTGTTTATATAATGTATACTTGGTATATATATTTTTTATTTTAAAGTGTGGTAATATATTTACAGATTTCCACAGATCATTTCTAGTCTTATTGCAGTCTCCCGTCCCAGGGATATCAACAAGCACAATGTGTTCCAGGAGTTCGTGACAACCTGGAATCTTGATTGTCACACTCTTTACAAGTGGCCAGTACCAGCCACCAGGACTGGACTGACTGTGAAGTATGTAACATGCAACATCATTGGAAAATTCTGTGACCTGTTGAGAAAATAAGTAATGTTAACTTCACTGACAAACACATTCAAAATGCATTATTATTGTTATTATTAGTAGTAGTATTATTGTTGTTGTTGTTTGTTACAGTTGTTATGTTGTTGTTGTTGTTGTTGTTGTTTTATGAAACATTACAATTTTAGATATAATTAGTGTCCTAGAAACTTACATCACTTTTTGAGATTGTTTTTGGGTTCTCACTGGTGGACAAAAATGTTTCAATCTCAGCAAATTTGGCATCTTTCTTGAGCTCTTCTAATGTTTTCTTATCTGCATCAGCTCCATACAGTGCAGTGATCTTTTCTTCAGCAGCTGTGATCAAGTCATCATTCTGGTCCTCCTCACAGTCCTCACTCCTCGCCTCTGATAAAACTGTGAAAAGATCTTTGAGCTCTTCCTCCCACTCCTGCAGAGGTACAATAGAGAAAATAAGGCGTTATGTTCTTCCCTCAGTCTGATTTATTTGCATAATTATTAAAAAATTGCATTAAATGGTAAGATAAATGAAGAAACCTCTTTAGAGAAGAGTTCAATCTCTGCTGTGTATTTGGAGTCAGTCAGATTGGCTTCCACCTGAGTAACAACGGCTGTACAGGCACCATAACAACCAGATGGCAGTAGATCCTTTTCCCCCAGTACTACACTTAATAGGGAGCTCTTCCCTTCACCTGTTTTTCCAAAAATCCCAATGGTTGCTTTCTTCCTGATGACATTATTCATTTTATTTATCTTTGACATGATGTCTCTGTGCATAATGACTGTGTGGACTAAGTTATCAGTGACTCTTTTCATGATTTGCTTTGCCTTCAACATGATCTTCATATCTGCACAATGAAGAAGAGAATCACAATGGGGATTATTTAAAGCACACATTAAATAAAGAAAATGTGGGCAGACCTTAGTTACTCTAGTAGTGCCAGATTAAGGGTTGACAGATTCAGATTTTACTTGCCTGTCAGCGGTGACTCTCTGCTCGAGTCAGACAATTCATGATCACGCTTTCTTTTAGTACCTGTGAGAGAATTAATTATACTCATTATATTTCCTATATTATCACTGACTGTAAAGCAAACACACAATCACATTTTTTTGAGAAATTTTCATACCTCGTCGACGTCTAGCCATTGTGAGATAGATGGAAAGTCCTGGAGGGGAAAAAACACTCGGATCAAGCACATGGTCTACATAATTTTTTTACCAACCTATTACCCCACTGTTAACATGCTGCTTTTTATTTCAGAAACATTATTTAGCCTTCATCTATTATTCATAGATTGTATCCAGTTATACTGCAGAGATTCTTTATTCAACTTACAGCTAAAAGGGAGACCTGTGATGACTCTAAAATGTTTTGCTTCAACATTGTTTCATTATCAAACATTATACATTTTTTAGCTTACATTTATTTATTTTATTACACCGTTAACTTAATCCTAAATCAGATTTTTAATTTTAATTTTAATAGACATTAGGTTTTCAAATTTTAGCCAAATTTAAGAACTATAATAATTTGAGGAAAAGTGTTGTATTTTTCAGGATAATGCCTGTGGAACAAGAGCAAGACATTGCTGTCCATTCAGCTATCAAGTTGAGCTCTGACTTTAAGGCCTGGTTTCACAGACAGGGCTTAGATTAAGCCAGGATTAGGCCTTAGTTTAATTAGGACAATTAAGTAATTTTTTATAAATGTACATTTCATATTGTACTAAATTTATTGTGTGTGTGTGTGTGTGTGTTCTATTTGCATTCTGTTTGCGTTATATTTGCATTCTATTTGCATTCTATTTGCCTTCTATTTGCCCTTTAGGCCAAATGGAGATGAAAAACTAAAGACTATGCTTCAAAGACAAAGGTAAATGATTCAGGTCTGTTTAGTCAATGAACTGAGATGAAATGTGCCATTTCAGTTTGTTTTGTCTATTTGCAACTCCAGATTTTCCTTTTGTTTTAGTGTGTAGAAATAATACATTTAATTTAAACTTGATTGAATGTTTTCTATACGTGTTCACATTTTTTTTAATTACTTCATCAAACTTCAGGTCATATGTGCTGCATCCCCCCTGGGTGTTTTCAACCTCAAACATAAGTACGTCTAGAACTCTCAATTCCTTGCCCCTTTTTGTCAGACTCAAAAAGACATGCTGTATAATATCCTCTCTCTAGACTATTATCTCAGGGCTAACTTATTCTGGTCACTATCGTACCTCCCTATGCCTACGGTCCAGATAATAACCATGCCTACCCGGGTGGGGTGAGTTATTCTCACATTCAGTGGACCAAATTCGGTCCTGCTATGCACCCTCACGGCCCACTCTATGGTGACTGGTCGGTATACCCTGGTACCACCAGAAGCTGAGATAAAACTCACCCTGCAATAAAGCAATAAAATGCACCCTGCAGAAGATCTCAAAGAAAGAGCACAGGACATTGTCTTGTCCAAAATTGTCTCCTTCCTTATCTCTGCATCCCCCTCTCCCTCCTCCCTTCCTTTCCCCCTGATTCAAGTCAAGTCACTAAAAGTTCACTGAGAATGTCTACATATCACATATGATGTATCTTTTGAATCTATTGTTTTTCCCTTCCATGTTTGCATGGTATCATTTTAAATGTCTCAGTGCGATTGGTGAAATGGTCTTAGGCCATTTCCACACTAATACGTTTTCATTTGAACGTATATTTTGGCCTTCCGTCCACACTGCGTTTTAAGTCAATGAAAACGTTTCTTTTGGAATACGCTCTCCAAAGCGGATAAATTTGTAAACACCGTTTTCGCGTTGTAGTGTGGACTGTGAAGCCGGAGGTATTTGAAAACGATGACTTAAGTTTAGTCATGTGATCCATGTTGTACCAATAGATATTCATGTTTACCGGTATTGTGCCTGTTATGTGCTATTCACTTTTACACTGTTGCTAAAATATCTTACTTTGCTCACTCTTCATATCACAGTCCAAAGATGACAGAAAATGTACTCACATTTGCTGTCCTGAGGCAATACAGGAGAGCAGTTGCGTTTTAGACCAAACATATGGTGACTGAGTGTGAGCTGGACGCATCAGTAAATGGTGAGATACTTTGCTAAATAAAATTATCCTGTTAGAAGAATTGACCGATAACTTTATTATTTATTTTTCCATCTGTATCATCTCAGTGAGCTTTTGTGAGGTTTCACGCATGCGCAGTAAGGTGAATTTAAAAGTTTCTCATCCACACTGAAACGTCGGAAAACGCCTGAAAACGCTAGTGTGGACAGAGAGCGTTTTTAAACGAAAATGCCATTTACAAATGTATCTGGATTAATGTAGACGTAGCCTTAATTTCATTGCAGTCATTGGTATTATGAGAAAGATTGAATACTTAGGTGAATCCTGTTCTCCTCTTTGGGTGGTGTCTTTTCAAGATATCTGATAATTCTCTCCTCTCCACCGAAACCAGGTGTTACCCTCTGGGGTACATGAATTGACCCTAAACAACTAAAAAAAAAACAAGAGCCTTTTGTTCTGGTGGGTATATAAGTGGCAGAGCAGTCTTTGGGAACCTATAACCAGAAAACCCCCATGCAATGCTGTGTCAGGGTTTTCCCGTCGGAACACACTCACACACCATTGTGTTTTTTTTAGGAATGCATTTCTTACTCTTAGAGTCATCTTTGAGCAATTGATGTTATGTATTTCTTATTTTCTGAATTGGCTTTTAATCATTTACCTGTGTAATTGGCATGATACATTTTTACCTGGCAAATAAAATGTTATATTTGATTTATTCTGCATTATTCTGTAATCATTTTTCTAGTATGGATTAATGTGTAGTCTGGTGTTTCAGCAAATCTCTTCCAGGATAGATCACACTGGAGGCACTAATGAATGGAGCATGGAGCACATCATTAAGGAGACCTTCTGATTTCTGTCTATCACTGACTTACGTTGCATCTTGCTACTATTAAAAATTACACCTTTTGTTATGAGTCAGCATTGAGCGGCATCTTAAAGGACCCATGACATGGGGTTATTTTATTATTTTATAATGTTTCCTGGGTTGCCCTTATAATGTTAGTATGTTTTTTAGATCAAAAATAGTCATAATTTAGAAATAAAAGGCATTTTTCCTAGCCTGATTTTAGCCTCCAATTTGAACGCTCTGTTTGAAGGGGCGTGTCTGCTGTGGGATTCAGTGTAACCGTGGCCACTGCTGTGATTGGCTGACATGCTTGCATATGCAATAGCTACATATTACACTTGAAACTCTCTCGAATACTTTTACTACAGCTATTATACATTTTTACTATTACAGCTATCGAGATTAACGAATCGTGATAAGTTTTTAAAGTATTTAGATCTATTCCCATCACATAAAATGTTGCTGTGATGAGCAAGCAGATGACGCAGTTTCTGCACTCTCTCTAAGGTTTCACCAATGCAAACACGATGATGTACATACAGTAAGAGCTTCGTTGTGCAGTGTAACGTGCCGTGCGTCATTGATTTCATAACGAGTTGTCCAGATAAACTCGCGCTGTGTGGAAAGATTGTTCTTTGGCTGCTTTCTGTATATAATTTGTTCACAATTTAAATAAGATTATTTTCATCCTACTAAAAGAAACGATGTGAAGTTGATATTTTAGTCACGGGCACTGATGCATAAACAGTATTGAACGATTATTTTGAGA